AATATTCACCAAAATTAGAGAATTGAAGATATCATGAAATGAACAAATCTGAGAGAGGTACATATACACCAAGTATCAAAGCACTCAGGCTTGTAGTTTTCAAGAAGAAGTCAAACAAGCAGCCTATCGGCTGAGATAGCTCCGCTGTTAGCAATGCACATTTCAATTAAAGAACTGAAGACATCATTAGAAAATGAACAATATGAATAGTATCAAAGCAATCGGACTTACAGTTTTTAACAAGAAGTCGAAAATATCACTTTTTACCAAAAATTACAAAAATATTCACCAAAATTAGAGAACTGAAGATATCATCACAAAATGAACAAATCTGAGAAAGGTCTACATGTAGTATCTATATATGTAATATCAAAGCAATTGAACTATTGGTTTTTAACAAGAAGTCAAAAATATCACTTTTTACCAAAAATTACAAAAATATTCACCAAAATTAGAGAATTGAAGATATCATCACAAAATGAACAAATCTGAGAGAGGTCCACATGTAGCATCTATATATGTAATATCAAAGCAATCGAACATGCGGTTTTTAACAAGAAGTCGAAAATATCACTTTTTACCAAAAATGACAAAAATATTCACCAAAATTAGAGAATTGAAGATATCATCACGAAATGAACAAATCTGAGAGAGGTCTACCCAAGGTACATATACACCAAGTATCAAAGCATTCAGGCTTGTAGTTTTCAAGAAGAAGTTGAAAAAGTAAAACATTGACACGGAAGACGACGGACAATCACTCATACATGTATGATAAGCTCCGCTCGACAAAGTCGACAGCGGAGCTAAAAAGTAAAACATTGACACGGGCGACGACGCACAATCGCTCATATGATAAGCTCCGCTCGACAACGTCGACAGCGGAGCTAAAAAAGGTATTTTCAAGATCAGATTTTTATTTATGTAATTTGGTCAGTCACGAAGCAATAATGGATAGTGCATTAGAGATAATCTAAATGTTACTAATGTCTGGTCAACATATTAATAACAATGCATTAACAAATTAATTTGACCAAAAAAATTATACACTGGTAGACGGGACAGAAAATAACTTTCCCTTATTAAAATTGACAAGGATTTGTCAAATCTTTCATAATACTAAGAACAAAACCAACAGCTGCGACTGATGACATGGCACTTCACATCAACGACATACATAGTCATCAGCTCAGCCACACCTGGTAATACACAGACCATATCACAATTCATGTAGAGAAGTGTGGGATAATTTTAGCTGAATGAAATTATTAACAAACACAACCGGCCAAAGCATGCCTGCTCTAGCATCCTGACAACTATTCCACTAAAATTAAGATTTGCAATACGGTCAAAATTTGCATACATCTATATTGCACGAAAAACGGAATTGATTGAATTAAGGGTTTGCATAATAGCATTATGCAAGAATTTCACAAAAGACAACATTATACAAATCAATAACTCGTACAGAAGAGTATATGATCAAATTAAGTAGATTTTCATGTATGGTCATTTTACTTTAGTAGCAAACTATATATACATTGCGACTATTAGGAGACAAGAAGGAACAAAAGGGACAATTTGATTCTTACATTGTGTGTATCTCTACTTCTGAATAGTACACATTTACTGTTGCTAGTCTTGTTGAATCAAAGACATCTTTTCTATTGTCTTTGGTTGAATGACATAAAAAGACACCAGAGTGGCTTTTTGCATAATTGAAACACAAATATATTTTTGGGTAGTTACATTCAACATCTGGCAATACCGTATTTGCTCTATTAGTAGTGCCTGTTTCTATGGTCAAAATAAAAAATATTTTGACAGTGTTCTCTGCTCAAGGGGTTTTACATAGGTGACTCAGCCTGCCCATCAGGTGTCATGGCCGTCTAGTGAATATCAAAAATATTCTATTTATATTTACAACTTTCAGCCAATTTTCATCATGAAACCTCAAACAGAGAGAGGCCTATCACCAACCGCCATAGTTGGCGCTGTTGTAATGATATAAAATCCAAGTTACTTGGGAAAACGGTGAATTCTGATTAGTATTGTCCCGACAATGACCTGTTGCCACATAAAAAGCGTTCCAGAGGTTCTGAGAATTATTCGAACAGTCAGCCATCAGCGGTCAAAGGACATAGTTTTAGGTCAACTCGTGTATCATAGCGCAGAGGTTTTTCTAGAAAAAAGCCGCAAGAGGGAGCACTGCAATTCAGAGGCGCCACCAAGTGGGGGTTCTTCCTACCAGGGTGTGGAGTTTTTGATAATTCTAAAATAAAATGGAGCATTCTATGGCTTCCATGGAGCCAAAATTAATATCAGATAGGTCACAGTTGAAGACTTTGGCCACAGGGTAAGGGGGCGCATGACCATGGCATGAGGGCGTGCGCGCCCCTGTTCCCTAATAGACATAGTTTACTCGCAACAACGAATGAACCATTCTTTTACATACTGTAGAATACTTTATTTTCGCTTGGAATTCATTTTCGCTGAAGACATGATTCCGTGCAAATAAAATCCAGCGAATATACTTTTTTCCTATATTTTACATTAAACACATCAAAAATCAGTGAAAATAAATTCCAAGCAAAACGCCCAAAAAGCTTTTTCACAACAAATGATTATCTCACTAGCACAACAAATGAATATCTTACTAGCACAACAAATGAATATCTCACAAGCACAACAAATGAATATCCTACTAGCACAACAAATGAATATCTCACATGAATATCTCACTAGCACCCACAAATGACTATCTCACTAGCACAACAATGAATAATAGACAATATAATTGACTGAATATTATTTTAAACTGTTTAATTCTAACTGGTAGAAATTTTCAGAACTTCATGCTATTTTGAAAGATAAATTTCATGAAAGTGACTGACATGACAGGGAAATTTGTACTGCTACAAAATTTAGCAAATTGTCTCTTGCAAAATAAATACAGTACTAATTTGACTTTTAAATTAGACTAAATTTAGTAGTAAAAATTACATTATGACATACAAGAGAAATGATTACCATTTCATAAATTAAATTAATAACATTTTCTTTTATGCTATCGATAAAGAGCCATTGCTCGAAACCTCTAGCTATTTTAAATAGTTATTTAGGACAACGATTTACCAAATATTATTTTCTATATATTACCATTTCATGTTCTCTTAATTATTACATTTACTAACACTCAAAAAGATCCAGTGAGCAGATGTAGTTTAAAATGACTGTAAATTGATATTTTTCATTGAGATTCTATGATCAATATTAGTGAGCTGAGTTATTTTGCAATAGTGACAGTCTCTGTGACTTGTATGACATGATATAATGTATACAAATATATATATACATGTATAACATATGTAAAAACATTGTTTATTTTTAAACACTGCAGAATTTAAGGATCCAAGTCAAAAAACTATCAAAATTAAAAATAATTAACCAGCGTGAATATTATAATTAATATAAAAAGACATGGTTATGTGAAAATTTATTATTTTATTCAAATGAAAATTAGATAATTATATTAAAACCGGAGATGGTAAAATTTTGTTTAAATTGACTGAAGAATTCTCGAAATTAATTGTGCTATTATTATTATTATTGTCCTGACGTTATCAAAGCATTTAGAAATAATTTTCCATCCAAGAGAATTATTTCGCAATTGAATACAAGGGAAGACAGTACCACATTTCATCCACTGGGAACACTGTACAAAAGGATTTATATATAAATAAATAATATTTGAATCAAAGGGCAGTTAATCATGATTTGCTGAAAAAACATGTACAAGTGACTGTCTAATATTATAAACTAAACAATAAATCAACTACAAATTTAATAAAACAACATTTCAGTCCTGACAAACTTTTTGTAAACGTGCTAAATAAACATTTAGTTTATTTATTGGATAATTGAATCTTTTTGAAAATCCCATTTGCCAAAAAATAAAATTTACAAATGGAGATCATTCAGATGGAACATCCGGATGGTAATACAATACTATTTGTAAGAACAGCATTCAACTTGTATAGCCATCAGGCAATGTTGTCTCCAGGTAAAGTTCAAAATAAAAAATACATGCAGGAAAATGCATGAATAAAACATGTGCAAGTCAATATCAACAAGTATAGCAATATAATTTTCTGTATGGATATTTTTCTTAAAATTGAATTGCACGCAATGAATGTTTGATCAGTGAGATTACGATGTGCTGTTCAACTAACAGAATCTCTACACTAATCAAAACAGTGTATATATATACAAGGTAGTGTGTAACAAAATAGAGGCAGTCTACTTGTAAGTAGGGTAATGGCTGATGACTAATTGCAACATTGGGGAAGTTAAAGGTAATACTGTTAGCAAATATACTCGTGTATACGAATAATACATGATTATTTAATATTAACATACATTATCATTTAGATTGATATTATTATAGAAGTATTAACATAAATTTGTTTGCAAAATGTAAATCATATTTACTCATGTGTATTTACTCATGTAATTATTCATAATGCAGCAAGTGGTAGAAGTAGTAGTAGTAGTGGAGGTAATTAATACAAATTACATTTTAGAAAATATACAAGTTGTAGTAATTTGAGTAATGCAGGGTACTGTCATCGTCACTGTGTTTGCAACGAAGTAATAAATTATCCCCACACGCGGGTAAAATGATCCCAAATATCCAGCCTTATCAGAGTTATGTCAATGTGTGTACAACATAGTACTATATATTATTATCATCATCGTGTGTGTGTGTGTGTGTGTGTGTGTGCGTGTGTGTGTGTGTGAGTGTCACTGTGTGTGTAGGATTGTTTGCCGACCTTGAACAAGGCCCCTTAGCAGATAAACTATGCGATTCGTGTACTGGACCTTTTCCATTCTCTATGCATATACATTGCATTACATTCTGGGTATAAGTCGTGTGGAAAAAATAGTAGAACAACATAGAAGGCGGAAATTATGCACATAACAATAAAAGGCAAACTCACCCTAAAGTATTATCAACGGAACTCAACACGCTGTGCTCAAACAACAATGACCAAAATTATAACTCAGCGAACCGCCGACAGATCCAACGAATCTCGCAACAAACGACACCAATCAAATCCTGGAATTGTTCGGCGTCGATTATGGATGGATACCGCTCCTAATTTGGAGAGTACGGTGGTACAATCTCGTATTCAAATCGCACAAGGTTTTCGCAAGTTCTCGGGGTGACAGCTGCAATATGGCGGTCATGGGCGCAGCACACCATTTCCATTTTCATCTGCGAGGGACTATTTTACAATGACATTGTTTGACCTCTCTCAAATTGACGTTTTGTGAGTTACTTTTCAGATTGAATTAACTGAAAAGTCAGTAAACTCAACATTTAAAAGTGTTTTTCACGGAAAGACAGAATGCAGTCGTCAAAATGAGTAAAATAAACAAACCGCGGATGAACACGAAAAGCAAGACAGACATGATTGCAAATACATGTCTCACGTGATGCAATTAGCTGCGGCCTTGGTGCGAGCATTTGCACCGTTAGGCAGGCCCACACTCTGCATATCCAGGTAAGTGGATTACGACCTTCCGCCGCCTCCCGACGAGCAAGCCAGCCGTGTGTGGATGACATCATCACTTCGAAATTTAAATAAGCAAGCTTACGAGCGCTTATTTATGTCATCCTGGAAAGTAGGACAACACCACTGTGAACTGAGTGCATTGCACATTGACGCCATAGCAGTTGGTCGTGCACAGAATAGATAGGGACAATGCTGATGTATTTTCTAGCAATAATCTTACAGAGAAACAAGAGTGCATGCGTTTGCAAGCGTATCTATGCTCTGACATGCATAACACGAAAATTAGCGACAGTTATAATCCTTTTGATTATTTTTTTTCCGTAGTGCGAATATTTCAATAGGGGTCGTTTGGGGTCATAGAACACGTTATGTAATATTGTGGACGAGCGTGTTCTTGTTGAAATCACACGTGTCGCTGCTAGGAAAGCAGATTTTCAATGAAAATTTAAACATGGCAAATGCTTTATAATTTGTATTGACTTTTTTTAATTAAAACTATACAATTTCTACAATGGTGTCATTTAGTATTTGTTTGTCAGTGAATTAAAAAAAAAAAAAAAAAAATTTAATTAAATCATAGACCCTCCAGTCTACTGGAGGGTCTATGATTAAATGGAATAAATTCATTTTTCCATTTAATAAAAATATCAAATCTAGTTTGGTATTGTAGCTATTTGAATCACCTCTTTCTCTTTTAGGGAGCGTGTTTTTTAATGAATAGTTTACATCAGTCAATGAAAATCATGCCATGTAGCTTTCAAAGTCCCTTAGGTCTATGTGGAATCAGACTGATCACATAATGTATTGGCGATATTCGTTGACCACACCCATCATATCAATCAAATAATTATACCAATCCTATCTATGAAATGCATACTGCTACAGTCTGCACCATGACAAATTGCAATTAATAATATAAATAATGTCGTACATCATGAGTGACGTGTATCATGTTCCATCAGTCAGAACAGTTCAATAAACCTTGCGGATATTGGTGTTGCAAGCAAGCTGCAGTCAGAACAGTTCAATAAACCTTGCGGATATTGGTGTTGCAAGCAAGCTGCAGTCAGAACAGTTCAATAAACCTTGCGAATATTGATGTTGCAAGCAAGCAAGCTGCAGTCAGAACAGTGCAATACACCCTGCAGATATTGATGTTGCAAGCAAGCTGCAGTCAGAACAGTGCAATACACCCTGCGAATATTGATGTTGCAAGCAAGCTGCAGTCAGAACAGTGCAATAAACCCCGCGGATATTGATGTTGCAAGTGAACTGCAGTCAGAACAAAGTCAATGCAATAAACCCTGCGGATATTGATGTTGCAAGTAAGCTGCAGTCAGAGTAGTGTGTTGAGCCATGTTGTTATTGATGTTGCAAGCAAGCTGCAGTCAGAACAGTGCAATAAAACCCGCGGATATAATTGATGTTGCAAGCAAGCTACAATCATAACAGTGCAATGAACCCTTCGGATATTGATGTTGCCATTAAGCTGCAGTCAAAACAATGCAATAAATCCTGCTGTTATTGATTTTGCAGTGAGCTTCAGTCAGAACAGTGCAATGAACCTATTGAATATTGATGTTGCAA